GCCCCCTCTGTATCACCGTCAGCGGCAGAGTAGCACTTGTACTTTTCTCATTCTTCAAGACAGTGCACATGCACACAATCATTCCCTGTAACAACTAGCATGTAAAAATGGGCTTATCATGTACTCTGTGTTCGTGCTAGCACACTAACCCTGTATCAAAAACTGTAGAATACTGCTGTGTGTATTTCCCCCATTTTACAGTTGGCTTGAAATCCATGGAAGTGCTATACACTTTGGAAGTGGATGGCATTCAGATTTGATTTAGTGTTGTGCTCAGTATCTGCATCATGCTTTGATGTAATGACCATCAATGTAAAGAGAAAGTGTATCAGTGCATCACCTCTGAGTAGTTCCTGTTTGTTTTTATGGCCTTTTGAAATCGATACACCATGCAGCACTTTCCACTTTGCTGCTCAGTGCATATGATGATGATGATGATGATGATGATGATGATGCATATATTCAGGAGCCTGTGATTGGACAAACACTTTTATGCTCTCCCATACAATTACCTTGTTTTATTGTCTAATTTTCATGTCTTTTAAACTCTGTCGGTCTCTGCATTTGCGCCCGTCCTTCTTTTTGTTATCAACCCTCTTCTCTCTACATCATTCCACTTCCCCTCCTCCTTTTATCTGCTCTCTCTACATCAACTCTTTTTCTTTTGCATCTCACACTCTCCACCCCTCTCTCACTCTCCCTCACTTCCTCATTCTTCCTCCTTCTCCCTATCTCTTTCTGTCTCTGCTGTTTTGATAGTGACGCAGTTATCAGGCTGTCAATTCTAATCTTGTCTTGCCAGTGCAGTGCTGTCCATTCAGAATTACAGCTACCCCCTCCTCCCTATCTCTCTCCCCACATCCACAACCCCTTCAATCCCTTTCCCCTTCTCTCTCTCTCTCTCTCTCTCTCTCTCTCAGACAACAGAAGCGCTGATGGGATGAGCAAGCTAAGGCTGACACTATAGTTCACTCTTTAGTAAACTAGAAAGCTGTGTACAACATATATTTAGACTCTACTGCTCTGTACAGGACATGGTGGTCTCACCTAGCAACAGCCATTTGCTGTTTTTGGCCATCTCTACATTGTGGTCTTTAAAATATAGCTAAGTGAAAATGCTTTTTATTTTCAACATCAGTGTCGATCTGCTCTGTAAAGTGAGGCAGTGTCCAAAAAAGAGAAAATTATATTTTATATCTTCTGGTCTCATGGCTAAGGCAGGGTATTGAACCTCAATACTTTCTCTGTACAGACCAAAATGTGTATGTAGCACTAAACATCGAAAACTGGCATAGACTATTTGTAATTATATTAAAATTATAATATATTGCCACAGTATTTATGTCTCTATAAGTGCATGGTCTGTAAATTCTGAAGACTCATGTGACGCTCATGTGTATTGTAGTTAAAATAGTAATCACAAAAATTGAGCCTGTTCCTCAGTGACTTGGAAGCTGGTTACTGGTTGATTAGGACATCTTTGTACAGGGGACGGCTTCCCAAAATACAGGAAAGTCCTATAATAACTTCCGGTCTATTATTCGGAGGGTATATATATGTATTTTTCCTATTACTGTGGATGTCTGGCCAGACACAATTATATCATGTCACATCGTGATATCTCCAGCACAACTATAGGGTTGTGAGACAGGAGATAAATGCGCAGCAGTCTAAAATACGAATGGTAAATATCAGGATCCAGTGTCAGCACATCAGAATCAGAAGAGCTACTGTACAGCCTCACCATTTTGCATTAACACAGTCAACACAGGGAGAAATCCATCGAGAAGAGGACCAGATACCAATCTCTCCACTGACAATATCAGAAAATAGACCAGAATGCAATGCAGCCACAAGATGTTGCGTTATGAATAAGGGATGTGACTGTCTTTTTCTCAACTGACAACAACAGCTGTCATAATAATTACTGTTCTCCGCACCTGAATGAGAAAAACGAGGAAAATAAGCTTGGTATTGTACAGTTTATACGTGGTTGATATTTGTTTATCCACTTCAATAATTTGTAAAGCCAGCAAGTAAAACCACTCTGATGAATGTGTTTGTGATTAAGGGAAAGAGGAAGACACAAAAGTAATGACTGGTTACAATATTTATACAGTATAATAATAGATATAATAACCAATATCAGATATCTGATATGAACTTTATTCTGGTAATCTCCACAGAACCACTGCAGTCATGCCCTCCTAGAAAAAAACAAAAATAGCTATCATCAATAAACCAAAATCTGCTGCCAAGGAGCTAAGAAAAAGACTTAACTAGCTTAAAGATCAGGCCGCTTGAGACTTCATGTAAGTAGTAAAGCTTTTTTTGTCTTTGTATGATGAATGATAATGATTAATTATTAGCCTTTGTTACTGTAGATAAATACATTTTGCAGTGAAGACTGTGCCTGTCTGCTTCTTGAAACATGTGCTTAAGCCTTAGTAGTTTCCTCTTAATAGATGTTTGGGAATTGCCAGGCATTTCACTTATTGGCCCAAAAATAGACTGCATATCTTAGCAAAATCAAGACTAGTTATCTTGAAAACAAGTTTAATCTTATAATGTAAATGTTTCTTGTAAGACAAAATCATGCTAAAATACATTATGACTAAGTTTTTTTAATCAGCCTTTTTTTCAGAGAAGTTCACACCCACTCATGGGTTTTTTTCTGAAGGTATTCTGGGAAATGTAGGAAGATGCTGATTAGACAGGTTGAGGGAAAATGAAAGCAAAAAAAGCATGTCTAAGGGTGGACTTGTCCTCTCACGCTGTCACTGAAGGTAATGCTGTTATTCTGTAGTATAGTTTTGGTTTATTGTAGGCTTGTAGGCATGTTGAGACATCCCTTCATTCATTTTTCATCTGTATTCTCTTCAGTCTTTCATTGATATTTCATCTTCCTTTGTCAGCCTCCTATAAGTTCACAAACATGAGCCCCGTACAATAAGAGAGGGAAATAAAAAAAGAAATAAAAGAATATGCCCCTTGATTGCATGTAGCTGCAAGCTGTTGAGTGTCATCACTCTTTCCTTTGTGTGAATACATGTGAATTTTCCTGGAGATTATTTAGCCTTCTTTTTTTTCTATTTTGTCATTCCATTAGCTCTACCTTCAGTTTATTCTATTTTCACTTCAAAGGCTCGGGTGGAACAGATGTCGTTTCAAATGCCTGTCTTCTGCCTCATTGCCTAAAAGTGAGGGATGATTATTTTTTAATGAAACCGGGCATACTCACACACACACAAAAAAATTATCTGTAAGCTGTGAAATAGACAAGCAATACTTTCACATCACCCTGAATGAGAACATCCATTCATTTCCGCACACCACAAAAGCCATTTTGAAGTTTTTCTTTAGCTGCCAAATGTGCTCCTGGACCTTGAATTTTGATTAGTTAATTTCATGCTGTGTGGAATACAGTGTGTTGTTTGGCTGCAAATGCTTTTGCTGAAACAATGCGATTTTCAAAGGCAGTCATTTCTTGTTTTCCAATTGACAGTTAAAGGGGGAAACATGGCTGCTGCTTAATCCCGTGATAAGTATGCATTAGATGGATGTGAACGTCTTTAAATGTCCTCAAGTTGCTGTTTGATACTCGCGCAGGGACAAATCTTTTTCATGGTTTGTTCTCCCTCCTGCTGAGTTTTAACACTGAAACCCAGGATCAGTGGATCATGAAAGAGAACATTCAAAGCTGTTTAAAATTTCTAAAATGCAACCTGATGAAATAGAAACTTGGCCTTGGAGATGGGCTCTCTTCGCCAAAAAAAAAAAAAAGGAGTTCAGTCTCACTTCACTGAAAGCCCCTAACAACATTTGAGTAACTCTCCATAACCCCTCAACCGTAAATAGTGCACATAAATATCCTTCATTTGACATAATACCAATGTATATCATTATATATTCAGTATGTCATTATATCTTCTATTATATGGATGGAAATTGGATTGTTTTTTCCTGCCTTTATAGCAACCAAGAAATCAGGTTAACTGATGTTCCTCCGATACTAATGGCAACATCAAGCCGTCACTTCTTCCTCGCCATCCTCCCTCTGCTGCACCTCTTCTCTCTCTTTCTCTTTATCTTTCTTCCTCACTCTCTCTCTCTCTCTCTCCCTCCCGACTCCCTTTCCTCTCCCTCTTTCTCCTGTGCTTGATGTGTTCTCTCCTCAGCAAAGAAGGCAATTTCCATATAGAATCACAACCAGGATCAGGTGACCTGGATTTGACTCTCCGTCAAAGCCCTGCACGGAAAATGAAAATGTATTCATGTGTATTGGATCGAGTGCATCACACAGATGTGAGCCGTTTTTGCTGCCTGAAAATGTAGTGAGATTGCAGTGTGTTATTGTTGACAAACCGGGTGCATCTTATGAAAAATATAGATTTAATCCTTTTTTTTGTGGTTTCCCCAGAAAGTGGAATTGAATTATTTCTGATCTACATGAAAGAGAATAAAGATTGAAAGGAAACCACAATATATTCATGAATCCAGCGATTTAACAGCTAAAAAGTCTTACCAACATGAAACCAAGTGGAACTGCTAACAATGAGGTTTTAATTAGCCCAGGACTCTGTCTCCTCATCCCATGTTTGGCCAGTTTCTCCTGAACCAACCCCTCCTACACCCCAGAGGCTAACCTGTCTCACTGACGTCCTGTTAGTCTTCATTCACCCATGTCCATAAATTGATCTGTTTTCTCTTCTCAGAAGAAGCCCTGTCTGCTCTTCGCAGAACTGCTTTCACCCTCGTTCATTGAATGTTCTATTTGGTTATTTCATTTATGCTGAGCGTCATGGGCACAGTGGTTAATGATGGTTATTTAACCTTGAAAAATATCTCATCTAGTCGATGCATCATTGAAGGACTCCTCAAGCTTCTTTCTGCAGTAGCTAGAGCAAAAGAGTTACAGTATTTGCATTGACTGATTTATGACCAGCAACATCTTTGTCTCTTTTTCCCTCTCTTCTCTCCATCCCTGTTTCTGCCCCCAGATAAGCAGTGAGAAGCGGGCCTCAGCAGAAATGATGAAGCCCAAACCCAAACCTCAAAAGAAGAAGAAGAAGAAGGACCCCAACGAGCCACAGAAACCTGTGTCAGCGTACGCGCTCTTCTTCAGAGACACCCAGGCTGCCATCAAGGGCCAAAACCCCAACGCCACCTTCGGGGACGTCTCCAAGATCGTGGCCTCCATGTGGGACAGCCTAGGGGAGGAACAGAAGCAGGTAAAAAACATGTTGGTCTGGAATATTTGAAACAATAAAGTGGATGTGGAAACAGGATTACTTAAAGGAGAGACAGCAAAAAAAGGACATGTCTGCAAATATAGCACTGTATGTAAACTTTTGCATACATTTCCTATGCTTATACACATGCACATACACTGATGCAAACACACACATATACAGTCACATGCACACATTCTGGTCCAACCAGTAGATGGCATGTGTGCTGCAGCAGGCAGGAAGCCTTTCTTTGCCATTATGTGCTGTGTAATTACCAGAACATTGCTGTGAGATACAGCTCACCTTAATGAGCTAGTTCTTCTCTTTCTAAAGGTAATCCATCCGTTTATCCTCATTCCCTTGACTCTCATAAAAATGATTTTCTTTCTAAATTTAATTCTAGCAAAGCAAATGAAGGAAGGGGTGGGGTAGTATACTGTGCAACAGCAGTCTGTAAAACAGTCTGAGACCAACAAAGTTGCACATTTTACAGGCAAGAATTGGTCAGTATAGGAAAAATGTACGCACTAGGACTGATTATGTTTTGCAGTGGGTAAATACGCTCATACCCACATACTAGTGCACCCCTGCAAAAGCAAACAATCAGATAACAATAAATATACAAACCCATAAACCCTCAACTGTCATGCAAAGGCGTGTTCTCTTAGTTTTTCTTAGTAGTGCAGTGTCCATCAAAACTAAAAAGGAATTTCCAAAAATATAGTGGAAAAAGTGAAAACCATCTTCTCTGCCAAAATAAGATTCCCACAAAGCTCCAGGCTCAGGTACGGTCCACACTTCCTGTGTCCCTCCAGCCTCCATAGCTGGTGCCTCCACACCATGCATCTTCATTGACCCTCTGACAAGCAAGGATGTGTGAAGTTCTCATTTCCTCTCTCTTTATTTATATCTCTCGCCTGCTATTTTGATCCTGCCTAGAATACAGAATTAGTGATCCCCCCCCTCACTATCATCTTGTCCTTGGATTTAGCTGAAGGGCATCTCAGCTATCCAGGAAGAGTAGTCTGTTGTTTTTGTTGCTATTTAACGTCATCTCCAGCTCAGCAGTAACAGGTAGGAAATGCTAATGATGATGGAGTTAGAGGAGGTCATGATGATTTGCAAAGAGAAACTAAAGTTGTTAGCTTCGTTTGCTTATTATCAATTCTCTTGAGACAAGGAAGGTTTTATTTATTTTAGATTAAGAAAGGACTGTATTTTCCAAACTGTTTCTTCTTAGTGTGGGGCATCAGTTCTGTGGCACACAGAAATAAGACAGGGTGAAACTATGGTGTGTCTGTAGTCAAACATCGAAAACTGTCAAGTAACAAAAGATGGTATAATCAGATTTATAATTACTTATTCTTTGATCAGATATTTCTTGATTTTAATGACATTTCTGCCAGTTTTACACTATTTTATTCAGGGAAAAGTTTTTGTTCTTCTCGGCTGCTTGTGATTTTGTAGAATCAACATATTTCTCAGAGTTAGGTGTTAAATTGAATAGTTAAAATGATTTTACCACAAGTGTAAAAACAAAAAAATACTCAGCCCTACAATGTAATGTATAAATACTTTAACTTTAATACTCTCTCCTTTTTGTTTTCCATAATAGACGATAAATAGATGATTTTGCCTATGGCCCTTAGAGCTATAGCTATTTTCAGACACTACACAAACATTGCCCGCAAAATAATACCTGCATTTAAAAACGTACATGAGAAAACACACATTCATATGCACTCACAAAGCCACATTCTTTATGCAAACACGCTGCGTTCGTTCAAACACAGCAGCAGCAGAGGTTTGTAACTATCACTGTAACAATATGGAAGGCAGTTTCAAACAAAACTCATACACAGGCAGGGATTGTATCCTAATGTGCCAAATGACAACAACCATTCTGGTGTATCACTAATGTCAGGGTGCTGATAGGAGTGTTATTGTGGAGTTAAAAGGAGAGAGAGAGAGAGAATGAGAGAGAGAGAGAGAGAGAGAGAGAGAGAAGTTCCAGTTCATTTCTCTAGGTGGATTGGAATGGAAATGATGTGTTGCTACAATAGAGGGAGACACATTGAGATGAGGGAGTTTTAGTGCCGTGATAAGGAAATAGAGGTGTTCTGTACCATTGGCTCTGATGGAAAGAGAAACATTAAGGATCTGTGTGTGTGTGTGT